GGGGGGGGGTAGTGAAGAAAAATTAATGGAAACGTGTGATAACAATATTTCAGAGGGAGAAATTGCCGCGGCTTAGGTGGACAATTAACTGAAATGATCGGTTACCGATCGAAACATGTCCAGAAATTGACAAGACGAAAAAATTAACCGTCCGGGTGTTTCGTCGTTTTCACCCTCATCTTACTAGCGTGTCAACGAACTGTGCTCGGCTGGTAGTGCATTCAGACGACCTGGTGCAGCCCGCAGGAAGCGAAGGAGCCGAGGGATGGACAAGGAGGATGACTCAACGGTCAACCATGGGTCAACGTGGACCGTATGCAGGATGAGCAGCCCAGCGCGGCGCGGCGCGCCCGACCAGGCGACCACTGAGCGATGAGAGGGAATAAGGAGGGAATAAACTGGCGTTCTTCATTCGCCTCTCAAGATGGGATATGAATACGAGTGTCATTGGCATCGCCTCTCTGAGGGCGATCGAATTAGCCCGCTAATCGATCGCGTTCCGGGATGGGTATCGCTTTCGCCGCAATATGCCTCAGGTATCGGGAACTAAGAGCCGGCGCCGGACAAAAAGGTTTGGGTTTGCGAACGGAGAGGGCATTCGAAACAAAAGGCCTCTCAACTCGCGAGCGAGGAGGCGATGCATATGAAATCCTGGAAATCGGCGTTCGCTCTTGAGAACCCTCTCGACCCCTGCCGGCTATACAATTTCTTATAGCCTTTTATAGCCGATGGCGATTAAGCAACAGCCAGGCGATTAAGTGTATGCTAAACGTTACTAAATACGAATGCTAGGACTTAGTGAGTTTTTGGACTACTGCTCTCTTTTTGGGCCGTAATATCTTGATTTATTTTGCGAGGAAAGCCAATGCATAGCTTAAGTGCGCTTCAGGTCAAATTGGTAATTTTTATAGGAGGACTATACATAAACAAGAGGTTAGAAATGAAAACAAAAAAATAAGAACAATGCAAAACGATAATCCGGGTATCGGAACTTGGCTGGTTTGAAAACGCCTTCAAATGCGGCATGATACCTCACGCATTCCGGAGAGTTCAAATAGTTGTATCATTGCGCCTTAGAAATGCGACGGAAGATTACAATTGAAATAGCCTTCATACACGCTGGCCGTGTCGATTTCCGTTAACATTTTTACAGTCATGAATGCAATAAAGCTCCGTACTTTTGATGGATGCCCGCCATTCCTATTATATTAAAACGCCTTCAGTTTCGTATGATACTGTGCAATACCTCTAGTGTGAAATAGTTGCTTCAAGCGCCGTGGCACGCTGCGGCGCGGCAGGCGGGCAGCTAGCGCAAAACGCGCATTGGCGCCTACAAACCTAACAGGGATACTTCACGCGTTGCGCGATGCGTGAAGTATCCCTGTTAGGTTTGTAGGCGCCAGTGCGTCGCCGCTCCGATTGCTTTGTGTTAGGCTCTAATATTTAATCTGGCGGAGTCAGCGTTATTCAACTCATGATTTTGAAATGTTTGCACATCCTGTACGGATTGTTCTCATTTTAATTGATGACAAAAAATATGTATTAAAGGAAAATATAATGGGTATTTTGTAAATATGAAGGTGGTTCCGTATCAAACTTAATGATTTCCAAAGCACACGAATTTCTACACAATTTCTTAAAGCCTATTATAATCGATGGCGAAAAAGCAACAGCCAGGCTGTAAAGTGTAAAGCCCGGCGATAGGAACTATAGCTCGGCTGCATAATTTTTTATCGCTTCGTATAGCCCGGCCGTATGATTTTCTCCGCATTCTACAGCCAGCTATATGATTTTCTGTAGCCTTCCTTAGCCGGCTATAAGAATTCCTATGGCATTTTGAAACGCAGCTCTTATCGCCAATTTTTACCAAGGGTTTTCATTTTTCGATCAATTATCATGTCGATTGAATCGACACGGGTTTTTTTGAATTAACTGTCGATCGAATCGGTGTCGATTGATTCACGTCGATCGACTCACGTTCTTGTTTTTCGTTCGATTCATGTCGATCGAATCGATACAAGTTCTTTATAATTTGGACGTATTTCTACCAAAGAGACCTATGTGGAGGTGAGAAATGTGGGATGAGCTCGTTAGTTCTCTGGCCGTAAGAGTGAATGGGAATAATAAAGCGCCAGTGACGTCAGCGGCAATGATAGTGCGCACTCGAGCGAGGGGGAGATCGTTAGAGGGAGTCTTTAACTCATGAGCCCTGTGCACAACGCTCTCTTGCCATGCCCGCGGCTCATGAGTTCCGCATTCAGTTGGCACATAGGTCTGTTTGATAGAATGTAAAATCCCGCTTTTCCAATTCTTCAAAAGGAATCACGCCCACTTTTACATTGCTTCTTATGCAGCTTCGACGAGCACACCCCACATTTCTCACCTCCACATAGGTCTGTTTGGTAGAAATACGTCCATTTTTCGATCGATTCACGTGTTCATTTTTCGATCGATTCATGTCGATCGAAGTGACACGGGTTTTTTTTAATTAATCGTCAATCGAATCGGTGTCGATCGATTCATGTCGAGCGATTCACTTTCTCAATTTTCGATCGTTCGAATCCATACCTTCCAGAGGCGTGCCACGATCAGCTTTGTCCATCTGGAACCCTACACCCCCCCTCCCCCCGGCGCGCGATCGCGCTGGGTAGCCGTGTTTTTCCGCGGCCGCTGCGTCCAAAGTTCGCCCTTTGTTTTCCGCGGCTTGCTTCTGTCACCCGCGCGCGATCGGTCACCCGCAAGGGGGGGGGGGGGGGGAGAGGACGATGTATAACCGTATTTCCAATCAACTTTGAGTCTGTTTTTCTGGTCGTTCCTCGCGCGACTTTTGACCTGAACGCCTGACCGCGGGCCGGCGAGTGCAGCCCAGGAGCAGAGGGACTCGGTCCGTTGCTAGTTGGTTGTAGGTCGTGGACTTGGTCATGCGTCCGGATGGTAGAGTTGAGGTCTGAGTAGTATGTTTGCTTTTCTAAAGTTACAGCAGAAGTTTTTGATTTCGTCTATTGTCGTTCCTAGTAAGTATTTTTGTGTAGAGAAGCTCATCTTTCTCCCCCCCCCCTTTTTTAGCACTGGAAAAAAACACATTGGATCTAGAGTCCAGACTTTTCCAAAACATCAACATGAAAAAATACTCTTGATTCAATTAGATTTACGCTTAAATCATGAACCAAGCCTCTTAATTTGAGCGGATTTCCTTTTGATTTAAGCTTAAATCTGATTGAATCAAGAGTCCTTTTTCTTGTCAATGTTTTCAAGAGTCTGGACTCTAGATCCGATGTGTTTTTTTCCAGTGAGCCCTTCCCACCCAATCCATCCATCTCCAAATCCGCCAGATTTGTGGTGCCACACACTGCCGTGCTAAGGAAAAAGCCGTATGAGCCTTCAGGCGTTGCCAGATTTCCTCTGGCAAATCGCAATAATCAACCGATAAAATCGCTATTATTTGTCAAAAGCACTGCTACTTGGGTGTAGCAACAGAAATAACACGAAACTCCGTCAACGAATAGTTTATTTTTAATAAAAGTGAAATGTGACAAGAAACTTACGATGCCACCAGTGTACAAGCCAAACAGTGTAAACTGACATGAACGATTGAAATGAAACGAACAGTCCATGGACACCACGAACAAAAATATTAAATTAGTGTGTTCAAACTATCCACGTTGACTCCACGAAGACTTTAATTACAAATAACTGAATAAATTTGGCACCGTGCATAAGCTTATACAAGTTCCAAGTTTTTAAAAGTTCAAGTTTAAAAGTCTAAAGTTTTCTTCAAAAGTTGCAAGTCCTTATCATAAATCATGCGTAAGCACAGCTTTGAGTAATTTGTGAAAACTTGGTTCGTGGACTCCACGAACACCTAAAGTTTAAACCAGTATGTGGTGGTTCATGCAAATTCTCAACACTGGTTTTTCTCCATATAGATCCATGAAAAGCATTGACCCTAAGTCAGGCAGGCCAGGGGTGTGAAATTTTCTTCAGAGCAGGATTGTCAGTAACAATCTTTGAATCAAAATTACCTTACTTTTCAAAAATCAGCAAGGATTTCTGTTTTTTCTCCATTTTTGGCTAAGAAGAGAGCGCAGAGGAAACCCCAATGAAAGAACTTCCTCATATCACAAACCAGCAGCAGCTTATGCATTCTATACCATTTCATGTACCCTTGCGGCAAGGCTGCCTTACTCAAGATAGATTGTTTTATTCAAATGGCTTGAAAAATTTTGCAGTTTCGCAAGAATTCCCTGTACTTCGAATTCTTTCAATTGCTGCTTTTGGCAGGTGCATAGATGATACATGGTTAAATGATTAAGGGAAACTTTTCTATGTCATTTGCAAACTCATGGACCTGTGTCCAGATCTGTTTTGTTTGACTGAAAGGATAATTTGAACTCCAAAGTATTCGAAATTGTAAGACAAATCCTTTAATTCTTTCTTTTTTTTACAGCAAACGGAATCCAAAATGCATTAAACACTCGGGGCCATTTACTGCCAGTTGGCCAGTTGCCGGAGGATTCAGACAGCTTTCCTTCTCGGATGAAGACATGGACGATGGTATGTGACTTTACTTTCAGGAAAAGTTTAGTTGGTGTTAAGGTCTTTTGCAGATGGCTTATTTCATAATAATCCTGCATAGTTGCATTTCCATGCAGGGTTGCATGACTGAAATGAAAAATATAAAAAATTGAAAATTTCCATGAAATATAACATGAAATTTCGCAGAGCAGTAAAAATATGAAACATATTTTCAGGGGCTGTGTATGCAACACGGACTAAAAACACCAACTAACAAAAGCCTGTAACGTTTTATTTCATTGCGCATTTAATTTTGAAAAAAAAAATCATATTTTTGTGAAATTATATGAAAGATTTTACGTAAAACTTTAAGATATTATTTTTCATGAAAAATTGCAACCCTGTTCCCATGATGGGTCAGGTAGTATTTTATGGGGTTTTAAATTATTTCAGGGAAAGGTAACCCTTCTGGGAAAATATTTAAATTTTGATCAAGTGAACCTACAGTTCTTCTAAGATGTAAGCCTCATTTCATGGATTTCAAACTATTTGGAACAATTTTTAGTAATTGCTGACCTCACGGTGCACCAAATAATTTACATATTTTGAAACTGCCAAAGAAGGAAGCGTTGGATTATACTGCTAAAGGAAGATTAGGGAGAAGTTTTTTTAACTTATGAAAAGTCCTTTCTTGATATTTCAAAGCAGATTGTTGCTAGCTCTCTTTGTTAAAAATATATTGGCAGTGCTGAAATGTGCAGTTAGGCTACCTCTGGTCTGATGCTTTCTGATTTTTCACTCAGCATTATCTTATTGTTATAGGCTACCTCTGGTCTCATGCTTTCTAATTTTTCCCTCATCATTATTTTTTTGTTATTCTAATCGACTTTTTGATTTTTTTCAGATTTGAGACGCCAAGTTGTGCGCAACGACAATCTTTTGTTAAATCACACTGAGGCAAAGCGGCAGTACAGGGCATCGAAATTATCCATCGATATTGTCGACAGTTTAGAGGTGCAGCAAACCAAAGCGCATAATATTGCTATGGCTGCACCTCCAACAAGTTCCTGTATAAAGCCCTCCGCCGCAAACATGAAGTGTACTGCCGCGATTGCCTCAAAGAGGCTGTTAAGCCGAGACACCATAGTTTTTCGACGCAAGAGGGCACAATGACTGACAGGGCAAACTTTGTCCCTGTCAAGTGCCCTACTTGCCGAGCTCTAATTGGAGCCTTCGGGAAGGTCCCATTCTAGTTGTGAAATAGTTGTCATTGTATATTTGTAAATATCACCGCAATCACACGCTGAATGTGGGAGCTGAGTGTGGCTTGAATGTGGAAGTCATCGGCCCGATGCCTGAATTTTGCGCGTGACGCGCAAAATTCAGCAACGATTCTCAGCAACCATCGGACCAATTTTGAATTTTTCTGAACTATTCGAGTAGATTTGATACACATCTGGATGAAAATAACTCGAATTTGCTAAATTTCAGCCGATGGGCGATGACTGTTGACTTCCACATTCAGGTGCTAAATTCAGCGTCTGATCGCGGCATATCACTAATTTTTCCAGGTGCCAAAGAATAGTTTTAACACTTTATTGTATATTATTTCTCCTGTTGTATATCCATCGTGTTCTATCTCCTAATGTGTATTTATTGTATAGTATCTCCTATTGTATATTATTATATCTCCTATTATTTGTAAATTTGTAAATTAACATTTAGTTAGTAGAGTGAACATATTTATTTGTTGTACATAGGTACGCCTTTAAGTTGTAAAATAGCTATATAAATTCCAATTCTAGTTTTTTTTAAAATGTATTTGACTTTGACTTATGTATACCTACTGTTATATATGTTCCCAAAATTTTGGCTTTATTTTTTTGACATCTGTGCAATAAAAATAATATTTTCTGGTTATGAAATGTTTTGTCATAATTTTTATATTGTATTATATTATTATATTTCGGTTCATCCAGAATTACTTTCCTTCTGAAACGCTAGTGGTTCCTTTTTGCAAAATGCAATCCAATTTATAGTTCCAAATTGCATAATGAAGTTCATTCATTGTGTCTGGTTTCAGGGTAAATTTTCCAAATTATTTTTAGAAAGGTACTTTTTTCTCGACAGGTAAAATTTACCCAGCTTTCCCCGTATTTATCTGGGTATCTCAGATTCCGAATAAAATTTTTATAGATTTTTTGTCATTTTACGGACGTACAATTTTGTGATTTCTCTTAGTTAGTCACTGTCTTTTGGTTTCTCCTCGCAAATTTCTGCCATTTGACCTGAGACACCTATATTTTAACCAAAACTATCATTAAGAAAAGAATACAAATACATGGCCAAACCTTCCTAGCAAATCAAATGAACACAAATCTGATGTGGTGATGGAAGTAAGCTACAAAATCTATCCCATCTTGATGAACAGCATCCTTTTTATTTGGATCACATTTTGCAAGAAAGAACCACTGTCTCTGGCTCCTCCATAAAAACGCTTTTCTGCAAAGGGAAACCAATGGCATTTTTGTCGGTTTTAAAATGAGCCAGAAATAGTGCGGTTCCTTAATGCAAAGTGTGGTCCATTTCATATCGATGATGAAACTTCGAAGACGTATCTCGTCTGCGATGTTGGCAATCTCTGCTGCTCTCATTTTATTTTGTCAAAGGAAAACAAACCAACACTAATGCTTGAAAGTTTTACATAAAAATCCTCACGCTTAGAAGAATATTCAGAGAAGTTCTCAAGAAGAATCGTTAAGTATTTTTCCATTGAGAAGATAACTATGGCAGGACCCATGTAGCACTTCTCAACGGAAAAATCGTCATGAATTGCGATTTTATTGCCGATAAAATCGCGCTTTCATCGCCTGACAATTGATCGCGATATTTTCGAAATAAAAATCGCGATAAATGGCAATTTAATCTCGATTTTGTCGAAACAAAAATTGCGATAAGTAGCGATTTAATCGCCATATATCGCAATTTTCAATGCGACAATATCTCGATATATTGCCATTGATGTAATCGCGATAACCAACCGATAAAATCGATATTTATCGCGATCACCGCTACTCGGGGAAGTCTACAGCATAGCAAACTGAGATACGCGATTTTGCAGTTTCACTCTCACACTGAAAAAAAATGCTCGGCGTTTTTACCCAGGTCCGTTTATTGGTACCTTTACCATCTCACTTTTTTTTACCAATTATTGGTAATTTTACCAAGACAGACTGGTAAGCTTACCTAAAAACCGGTATTTTTACTGTTTTTTCAGGTAAGAATACCACTTTTATTGGTATAATCAATTCCCGGTAACTTTGCCATTTATCTCGGTAATTCTACCACAGTCGATAAAAAATATTGGCGTCTTTACCAAAATCCAGTAAAATTACCGGGAAAGTTCAATAATTTTACCGAGATTTCTCGGTAAAATTACCAATTCTATAAATGGCACTTTTACTAAGAAAAAACTGGGATCAAATAGAGCCCTGAATTCTTGGTAATTATACCCTTTTCTTAGTGAATACACCGAGATTCTTTTTTTTCAGTGCAGTATGCGAAGACATTACTGCGGAGGGTTTCTGTTGGGTTCATTCCTGGCCAAAGCTCGGAATTCAGCTGTCGCTAACCGGGACGAGCTTTGTGTCTCCCACTTGACATTGAATCTCTCGCAGGTCCTCAAAAAAACCGGATAGAGATACTTGAGAACGCCGTGGTCCACTGTTGGGAAGAGATGGTGCAGCGTGTGATCGCCGAACATGACGAGGGCGAAAAAATGGTTTCCTATCAGCCTTTGATTATCTTTCGTTGTATCGATTTGAGCCAAACCCCAGTCACGGTCTCTCCTGAAAAATTCAGCAGTTTAGTGTAAAAAGAAGTAAACATGTCTATGGCCAACCCTGCTAAGAGTGACCACGTTTGCGAGTGAAACGTGGTGCCATGTTGACGCCAATATCGACAGGGCACCAAAATGGCATTAATATGGTACCAACATGGTACGAAAATGGTACCAACCTAATAAAATTGATTAATACTGCCGTTCTAAGGAGAAACGTATGAATGTTCGAGAATTTCCGAATTTCCTTCGATAAAAAATTTATTTTTGAGGAAAATTTTGAACATTTTCCCCTAAAAGTTTCAGAAAATTTACGTGCAATTTCAATTAAAATTGTCCAAAAAGTTGGAAATAACATATTTATGAATTTACTAGGAAACGGCAGAATCAGGGTCGGATTTACCTACTTGCCGCCCATGAGCCGCCTGTATTTTGCCGCCCCTTCTCATCCGTTTTGAAATATCAATAAAAACGAACATGGGAGGGGTGCATAAGACGTGTTTACTCATATTGGAGGCATTTTTTGTGAAAGCCCTGTTAACACTACCACCAAAAGTTCATCGAACTTTGCGCGAAAGGAAGTTCCGTAAACCTATCTCTGTGTGGAAAAGGCCTTCCATTTATAAGAAATAAACAAAGAAAAATAAGAAAGAATAAACATATATGTGGTTTAATAATCTTAACTTCCGCCGCCGCCGCGCAGTGTTGCGCTGGCCACACTGCTGTGCTTGGCGCAATGCGTGAAGTATTCCTGAAGTTTTGTAGGCGCTATGCGTTTCACGTCGATCGCTGCTGACCGCACTGTTGTGCTCGACGTAATGCGTGAAGTATTCATGCAGTCTTGTAGGCGCTATGCGTTTTACGTCGACCGCTGCTGAATGCACTAGCTTCGACGCAACGGGTGAAGTATTAATGCAGTCTCGTAGGCGCTAATATGTGTTACATGCCGACCGCCGCGCCGAGGGCTTCTCCTTTTCATCTCAAGTCCTTTGTCATCATTGCTCTCTGCGCCGCGCCGTTCCAGGCCAAATTGCGTGTTTAATTTCTTTCTTGACTCTAATAATTAAAGGTGCTGTCTCTTTTATCACCAAAAGACGACAAAATTAGGAATTACCATACTTCTCATAGGAAATGAGAGATATTGTCGCCTTTTCGCGTTCATTTTTTTTTTTTTTTTTCTGAATCCGATTTTTTTTATACATACATTAAGTCGCTTTCACAGCGCACCCTCGTGCTGTGTGATGCTCAATCGCCATTGTCCCCAATCCTTCCAGAGATCATTAGGTAGTTGGCACCTTCTGATCTGTTCCTCCACCCCTTGTTGCAAACCATCTTACAGATGCTTCTTTTACAATAGAGAAGAGAATTTAAAGAAAAAAACGTTTTGTGTCACTTCTGTGTGGTTTTCCCTTAGAAAAATTACCTCGGCGCATCGCCTTGCACGAAATCCACAGAGCGATGAGTTGCAACTATATCAGTGATGTTTTGAAAGAGGCTTGCAACACATATAATCCAAGTCCACATAAAGATAGCTGATATGATGTATCCTCCATTAGCTACAAAAATAAGTGTGGGAATCACCAGGGCAATCAACAATTCTGACTTTGAGAGAGTTTCATGGTAACATCTGAAAAGGGAAAATCTAAAGGGATTAAATCCTGCTTATTTGGCAAGAAATTCTACGTTTACGTGCTACAACTGATGAAAGAAAGCTCTCTTCTTTTACTTATCTACTAGCCGTTTACCCGTGCTTCACTCGTGGCGTTGCAAAAATGTTTATCTCGGTTTGCGGCCTTGCCTACATAATTTTCTGCATGAAAAACTACTGAATGTCATTTCTATAAAAATTGGTGAAACATTCTGTGAAAATTTCAAGCTATGACGTTGATCTGGTCTCCTTTTAAAAAATGAAGAGAGGGCGGAGATTTTGAAACACTATAACTGAGATACGCATTTTTGAAGTTTGATCGTCGATTACGCGCTTATTAGCGAACATTCTATGAAATTAATTGATTTGCAAAATAATGATGATGAGAAAATGGATTTGTTGTACTGGTCTCAGAATCGTGTTTTGAAGCTTGCTTGATCAGCTGAAAATAATAAGATATGTCCAAACACTAACTCTCCACGCTTAGTATTAATACAAATATAGCCCTTTGAAAAGTTGGGTTTTTGACGTCATCCACCGTGATAGTGACACTCTTGGTTTCTTCTACCTTACTTTCATCATAGTTTCACATTGCTGTAGGTACCAGTGCAAATATATGTCTTACTGATTGATGAAAGCAAGGTGGTAGAAACCAAGGGTATCACTACCGCGGTGGATGACGTCATAAACCGATTTTTTTCAAAGCGGGATATCTCTTTTAGTATTGAACGGGGAAAGTTGCTGTTTGGACAGATCTTATCATTTTTAGCTGGTCTACAAGAATTAAGCATCAAAACACGGTTCTGTGACAAGCGCAACTGACCCGTTTTAAAAAAACGAAAAACCATGAGAAACCAAAGGACAGTGGAACACACGTTGATTACTTGCCTCACAGGGTGTCTCTCGCTCTGTCGAGTTCGCCTTCGATAACCGCGATGGCAACATAAGCGACGTGAAAGCAGGAATAGTTGCGCTATAGACAAAGAAGACAAAAGGGATATGGAGGGATCCTTTTGGTGGATGCGGATGGTTGCAATGGACATAGGAGGTAAATACTAGACTAAACAAAGGCAACCCACAAGTTCCCTACATATGTCCATCATTTTAGTCTATATATGAAACAACCTTTTCAACTAATAGGATCGTTCCATACTCCCTATGTCTTCTTTGTCTATAGCGTCACAAGCCCACGGCTCACGAGTTAGCGCTCAGTTCCTTTTGATTTAATTGAAAATCCCGCTTTTCCATTTTCTCAGGAGGAACGATATCCACTTTTACATTGTTTACTATCCAGCTTCCACGAGCACACCCCATGTCTCCACTTCCACAATCCTTTAGTTCCTTTTAGCATAAATACGTCCAATAGCAAATTTTAGACAAACCTGGAGAAAAACTCTGCGTGACACATCGTAGCGTGAATAAAAGGATAATAAACCCAGGACAAAAACCGCTGAATCCAGTTTTTCTTGGGGTCTGGAGTGAAATCGAAAAATGGCTCGAAAGAAGTCAGCTCCAGGTCTTGAAGTGTGTTCGTGTACACGTGATGACTGAGACAATGATATATCCGCCAGTCTCTAAAATTAAATTTTTTTCAAAAGTATCATGTAAATTTACATGGTTTTAGCTGTTTTCCTGAATACGAATGCTTTTAAACTGAACTGACATTTTGTAGGACCAAACTACCCAACGGAAGTATTGAAAACAATGAGGAAGATTTGAGGATTTTTTAAAATCAAAATACGTATCGTTTGTTCCCTGAAATACCTTTCGATGGGATGCTTTTCCCAAGCAGCGATAAATGGCCGTTTGATTGGTTAGTTATCGCGATTTTATCGGTGGCAATATATCAAGATATTATCATATTAAAAATTGCGATTTATGGCGATTCAATGGCTACCTATTGCAGTTTTTGGTTCGATAAAATCGTGATCAATTTTCGTCGATAGAATGCCACGCCGTGCGCTACTAATAAGCATGCCGTATGCAAAGACTCCAGATTCAAGATTACTGACATCTGTCTTTAGTTAATCCATTTTATAAACCAATAAAAAATGAATGACCATGGAAAGAAAAATCCCTGATATCTGTATGACACTGTACAACACCTCTGTTGCGATCTAGTTGCTTGAAGCGCTGCGGCGCGACGAGCGAGGGTGACTAGCACGACACGCGCACTGGCGCCTACAAACCTAACAGAGATACTTTACGCATTGCGCAATGCGTGAAGTATCCCTGTTAGGTTTGTAGGCGCCAGTGCGCAGTGCAAGTGTCGCGCTGGCAGCACGCCGTGCGCCGCTCCGCTCTGTGTTTTGCTCTAATATTTAAACGCTACTTGGGTTGTGCTTGAGACTTGAATGTACTGTGAATTTCCGCTTTTCATCGGTACAGTTTTACCTGTCAACCATATACTAAGAAATGTCATAATCAGTACGATTAGAATATGAAATTTTCGGCCGCAACAAAACAGAAATATTTAAGAAAAGCCGTTATTATAGCTGAAAACTTGCAATTCGATATCCATGACCGCCTTGCCTGTCTACTTATCATTGGTAGGCTGCATTCGTCATCACCCTATTTTCCTATGCAAGCTTTACTTCGACCATGATATATTTTCCCCTTCATTTAAAGTACGATTCAGTCGCATAAACTTGACACGTCCCATCAATTATCCCCAGGAAATTATCCAAAAATTCCATCCTTCAATTGAACGTATTTCTGCCGAACGAGACTAGAGACAGGTGGAAAGGAAGGGGTGTGCTCGTTAGTCGAGGACCGTAAAGAATGAGTGGGAACTACAAAGCGCCAGTGACGTCAGTGGCGATGAAGCCGCCGCCGCAGTCGCAAGTGGTCATCTTTAACTCATGAACCCTGTCCACAACGCTCTTTTGCCATTCCCATGGCTCATGAATGCTGCATTTAGCTGGCACATAGTTCCGTTTGACAGAATGTGAAGTTCCGCTTATCTATTTCTCCAAAGAGAATCACGCCCACTTTTACATCGTTTCTTATGCAGTTTTCTAGAGCACACCTCATATTTCTTACCTGTTTCTAGTCGCTTTTGGCAAAAACACGTCCAATTCTACTTCATTTAGGAGGAAAACAACTTTTTTGAATTTTTTTCATACCCTCAGTCTCTTTGAATATATAAACTAGTTGAACTAGTTGAAACCCAGAACAACGGCTACACTGAAAAAAAAAACTCCGGCCGTGGGAGCCGCAATAACGGGCTATATAGACATACCGTCCATTCCGGGCTCAAAGGCCAAAAATTCCGGCTGCTGGAGCCGTAGCTTCGGCCTCTGAACCCGGAGCAATCGAAGTTACGGCTCCAGCAGCCGGAATTTTCGGCCTTTTAGCCCGGAACGGACGGTATGTCTATATAGCCCGTAATTTCGGCTCCCACGGCCGGAGTTTTTTTTTCAGTGTAGGTATGTTCGAGTGGTATGGTTCATACCTAACAGATAGGAGGCTCAAATGAATGTAGTACATTCGCCAGTTGTCCTTCTTGTGGAAGAAATTGTGACCTGCATTGGCCGTGAACGCGAGGAGGACTCCACTGACGGTCGCAATGGTGTAACTGCTCTCATAGGCAGCGGCAGCAACCAAAAGGAGGGTCGTGCAAGCGATTGCGTCCATGATAATCTTCGACTGGGCTTCAATTTTCTTGATTGGCAAGGTTTTTAAAACGCATTTCACTTCCGTCTTTAAAGAATTATAGAATCCATCCTTCAAGAACGTGTAGTCCACCCCTCTTGGTGCTGACGCTACTTTTACGAAGAATTTTGGTAGAATTTTCTCGGCCTTCTTTCCCAAATGATGGCTTTCAAACGCCTCCGTGCAGTCCGTCCCCTGGAATAGTGAATTGAGGGTAAAACGAAGGAATCTCCTCTATGTATATCAAACCGCTAAATCGGCGCAATAGAGCGCTCTGTGACTTCCAATCACCATTGAAATCTATTCTCTTACAGATCATCAGGCAAATCATACCTAGGCAATGCTTGAATTATTTTTGGAACTTCTTGGCTTTGTTTTTCCCTCGGGATGGTGTGGACCCAGCACCATTTCTTCACCTTGTTGCTTGAAGTAAATTAATTTATAAGAGGAACAAGTGCCTTCATCGTATGCAACAAATACTGAAAGAGTTTCATTACAACGTCTGGATGCAACTATTCGAGCTCAATGGATGTCCGTGTTGCATACATACAAAATGAAGGCGTTTCGTCTTTCCAGGCACTCGTCGCTTGGCGCGCAGCGCATCTAAGGTGGCAAAATTTCATGAAAAAAAAATCTTGAAATTCCACGTTAAATATTTCATGAATGTTCAGAAATTTATGAAAGGTATTGAAAAATACCGGTTCCTTTTTATGTTCCGCAAAATGTAAAAAATTGTGACTTTCTTCTATTTTTGTGTGTTTGAGAGCGGGTTGTCCCTGAAAAATATGAAATATTTCACATCCTCGTGAAATTTCAAGAAATATTTCACTGAAACTTCCAATCTTTCATTACTTTCTTGTGTTTTTTGCCACCCTGGGCGCGTCGGGCTTTACCGCAAGGATCCAAACTTACAAGGCTTCCACATTCTTTGTTTATACTGAAAATAAATATTTCAGGCAAGACTATCGTTATTCTACAAATCATGTCCAGCACATGGCGATATCAAAACTTAAGCACCAAATATATTCAAATCCTACACATGTACGCGACTCTTCGTACCTAAGAGATATTTTTGTTGTAAAAAAGATGAATTGAAAGTGTGATTTTGGATCCTCGCAGTAATCCCACCGTCTCGTCGGCGCCGCGCTGCGGGTGAAGTGGTGACTGCTCGGACAGTCAAAACGCCTTCAAGTCTGTGCGTATGCAACACGGACATCCATAGAGCCCAAATAGTTGCATCCAGGAGTTATAATAAAAATTCGTTTAGTGTTAATCGTATTGGACAGTGATTGAGGGGGATTTGCTTATTTCCCTCAAATCTTAACTTAATCCCAGCAACAAGATTTGGTTATGATCTTAAATTGTGTCCATAAAGTTCTTCTCTTCTCATTCTATCCAGTTTCAATAGCAATAAATTGCACAAACGACTTTCTGCTTCCAGAACCTAAAATACGAAAAACTTCACTCGCGCTTTTAGGGTTTGCGTTTTTGAAATTTTACCCGTCGAAACGCGTTTCAAGGACATACGCGGCACTCTCATTTTCTCTTCTTCATGTTTTAAAAAAGATCCAAGTGCTACCATTATTTCAGCCGACCTATAAAGGTATAGACCTTGTCTCTCTCACAATGAGACTCGTTTTATCGAATCCAAGCCTCATCTCACCTTAGTAATCTCGAGCCATTGTCGACCTCCTGGATGTTTATCAATATAACCGCTCAAATCGTACAATCCGTCATGAATGCGCCACAGTCCTTGCAGATTGTCATCCAGGTGTTTGTGCTTTAACCAATTCTCAGCCGACCGTAACTCCGTGAAGAGGTAGCTTGGCCGGATTTGCTCCTCTTTGCATACTTCCACAGGAGGCATTCTTTGAATATTTGCAAAGCTCAAGGTATCTAAAAAGTCTTGGATGCACATTAAAGCTAGTATCAGAATTTACTGAATCGAAATGATGAAGAATCTTTTTTAAATATAATAAACCGAAATTTTTTTTTGGTAGTCACATTTTAACGCGGCAAGATAAAACATAAGACTTTGCCCCGCTACAACTAGGCAGTAATATCGAATACGGAAAAAGAAACACATTGCCAGCTAACTAGACATAGGTCTTGAATGTATTGCTGTGGCCTAGAACTTTCGGAAAGATTTTCTTTTAAGCAACACTCGGTGAGCAAACCTCACTCTTAATCAGTGAGGATTAAGTGACTATCATTTGACAAAGCTTTTTCTATAGAGTGGAACAATGTCCACCATGAAGACTTTCACTGATCAGAAAAAACGTTGGAGGAAAGTGAGAATGATCGATTATCATAGTAAATATGAGGTTTAAGGAGAGCAAATATTGCAATATATAATTATTTCAAACTGTCATTGTGACCAGATTGAGATTTTAATCATATTTGATAAATTTCTCATTCATTTTCAATCGATCGATGAAATAAACTACCTACGTGATATATCGTCTTTAAAAAGAGTTACACAACCCTGCCGTGCTAAGGAAAACCGCCGTATGAGCCTTCAGGCGTTGCCACATTTCCTTTAATAAAACAACTAAACTGATTAATATTTTCCTTCCAATTTTTGAGACAGTTTTGATCGCAATTTCATATGAGGTTTCTGAAAATTTCAAGGAAAAATATCCATAACTTTCCTCAAAAATAAAAATTTTATCGAGGAAAATTTAGCAACTCTCGAATGTTCATACGGCGTTCTTCCTCAGCACGGCAGAACTGTTGTTTGGATTGCATCATGCAAAAATGGGTTACTTCCTGTAACTTAGCATAAAGGATGACACACTCACGACACAAACTTACATGTTAGGAAAACCAAAATTACACACTGATTAGAGCCAATTTCAAACTTCTAACGATTATTATTGAAATCAAGTTCTTAAAATTAGGGAGAGTGAGATACACGAGGCCCTCTAGTATTGATCCGTGTAACTGACTTTTCGAGTATTTCTATACCATATTTCGTCGTATTTGTCATGAAGAAGATTGTTCCACCCCCTCCATCTCTATTTACAGGGCATCCTTAACAGTCGAGCGTTTTCTAGAAATGATTACTTTCATGGGAACGCATTGTTTTTTTCCATTGTTCATTTTCCAGTAATTTTCCTTGCAAGGCTGCAAACAGCAATGAAGTCTTCACGTTCGGATTTTTTTGATAAGACATTCAATTTTAAAGTCGAAGTTCATATAATTCATCTGAGTAACAATTGCTTTTGCTTCTTGAAAAGAAAAAGGCCATTTAAGCAGACCATTAGCTATCCAGAGAAGAGAGAGAGGAGAACAAAGACAAAGGTACACAGGCAGCCCAAAACGGAAATAGTAAAAGCAAAACAAGGAAACAGTGGAAACAAAGGCCAAGATTTTTTTTTTTTTAAGGGAAGGCTCAAAAGTTTGCATTTGTTCAGAAAGGGAGTTAACATTGCAATACGGTACTAACTTTGATAATATTTGAGTGGCTACTTTTAATTATCCAAAATTAGTTTTGCTGTGTCATATTCAGACTTTATAAATTAAGATGTTTGTCTAAATGGACCAGTTGCGCTGGTCATCGAATCGTATTTGACGGTTTGCAATAGATTAGCGATTAATAATAAGATCTGTTCAAACGCTAAGTTTTCACATCCAACATTAATGTTAAAATCGATTGTTGAAAAACACGGTGTATGGAGTCATTCATCACGGTTGTGCATACCATGGTTACTTTCATCTTTTTTCTTTTCATGTTTCATGTCTAGCAACCCATGCAAATGTGTGTATCTGATCGATGAAATAAAAGCGGAAGAAATCATGGTATGCATACCGCCGTGGACGACTACAAACACCGTGTTTTTCGGCGAGCGATATCTCTGTTAATATTAGACGTAGGAAATTGGTGTTGGAGCAGATCTTATTATTTTTTGTTAATCTCTAGGCTCAAACCACCTAAACACAATTCCGTGACAAGCGCAGTTGACTCATTACACTCTAGCGGTTGCGCAGTCTCAAATTTTCTCGTCACCGACAGTATGAGGTAAAGCAAAGTCATACATCGATTTGCGACATTGCAAGTTTTTCACTGCCTTATTTTATAAGCCTTGTGACCTGTTGACCTGTGGGAGGACCGAGTTTTGTGGCGGTTAGGCGTCGAAGAGCGCCGGCGAGCGCTGTGAGAGCGACTCTTATGTATGTATTTTATGTACCCCAATATGGATACACCAATATGAAAACTTAAATCCTCCGTGCTTTTTCCAAGGTTTAACGAAAATTATTATTTTGATGTTTCTCTCAGGCCTATTAATTTGTGTAATTTCCTTGCAAAGGGAAACGAAGTAAACGGATCCCATTGGATACAAGATGCCCTCTCGGCACCAAGTTTAACAAAAATCGATTGAACAGAGGCCGCATATCGTAAAATCAACAAGACTCGCCGTAGACGATACCAATCAATTTACGTGCGTCAGGGCGCCTTAATTCTCTTCTGATACTGTGCACTACTTCTGTAGTGGAATAGTTTCTCATAGAGCGCCTTCAATAGTATCGCTTCAACTTGATGAAAGAATACCACGAATGCCGCTGACCTTATACATTGTAGCGCGTGCTCAATTATACATTTTTTCAGCACAGACGGTGAGGTATTTTGCACGGGAACACGAATATGAGCAATTTTAAATACGGCAACATTTTTTCGAAATATGACGAAACATATTATTTTAATGATTTATTCAAGTCCATTTGGACGATTTCCTTGAGAGGCGAAAAACAAGTATGTGTGGTTTCGAACGAACATAAATGGATTCGAAATTTTATACCTCTTAAAAGAAACGGGCCTGAAGAGTTGATAAACCGCCGAAACATACTAACTGACAATTAGTGTCTTTACCAGCTTGCTTTCCGCTTTTGCGTCTATGCTGTGAAGATTATGAGTTTTCTTTCTATTCCTCTGAATGATCAATTGAGGAAATATGTCTCTCGACGATTCAATGTGACTCTGATGTACAGGGCTTGTCATACATCCTGCCTACTTTCCGCCCTCTATTGATCATTTGTTATGATCAAAAACAATGATAAGAACCATAGATATTTATACAAAACTACAGCACGGTCGCCAAAAATGTGTATAGAAATGCGTTATTTAAAAAAAAAAAAAAAAAAAAAAAAAAAAAAAAAAAAAAAAAAACATGCATTTGAATTACCGCTGATCGAAGAAGAAGGTTGCCAAGCCATTTAATTAAGCCAGTAATTTTTTCCACCATCTACCTCATCGCCAGTGAACAGATTCAGTCTAAAATTAGCGTAACTTCTTCAGGCGTTACCTGACTTTTTCATGTTTTTTATTTTTCAACGAAATCTAAGCTACGTCTTTTTCACATTAAATTTGTGAATATGTAATCACTTTATAAACCACAGAACATTTACAGGAAGTCGTAAGACGTTATGCTGATCAGTTTTTTGTTTAGAAAATAAAACTAAAGGGAGAATTAACGAACGTGAGATGTGAACTATAATTAGGCTTGACCTTCTTTTAACAAAGATGGAATAATGGAAGAATATTTTAAATTTCAACTTTAATTCTACAAAATTTATTACTGTTACCAAAACACTGTAAGTGAAAGAACAGAAAATAGTAGGAAATAGATAAATAGAAATGACAGCAGAACTACCCCCAGAGCTTATCACGGATGTCAAAACCAATCCAGATCTTGGACGCAGTTCAGGGCAATGAGTCGAGTCATTGGAAATGCAAACTACAAATCTATCCCTAAGGGCAGAAAAAAGCTTATATTAATGAAACCTATAGTTTGTTGATGGTTGCTAATTCAAAAAAGAACAAACGACTCATCAATGTTTGTGAAAGCTATAAAAGCAAAATTGATCTATTCTCGGAACGATTTGTCGTTTTCAAGACGATAGAATGTGACTCGATTTCAGCGTCGTGAAATTTCCCCCTATAAAATTTCTATACAGATTTAAGGTGATTCGATGGACGCCATATTTTGTGTCAGAACGACATGCGATATATCGCATCAATTAGTTCCATTTTATCAGCTACTTCGTCATTTTTCTCCGATTTTGAGATCGCAATTCTGTTGTCAAGAGACTAAAGCACCCACTTACCAATTTTAACAAAGAAATTCAACGTAATAAAGGCGTGGTTTTTTCAGAGAGAAAACATCGCATTCAATACTGATATCGAAACTGCACTCGAATGCGATATTTTCTCTCTAAAAAAACCACGCCTTAATTACGTTGAATTTCTTTGTTAAAATTGATAAGTGAGTGCTTTAGTCTCTTGACAGCAGAATTACGATCTCAAAATTGACTAATTGTAACCCCATTTTGTCAACTATATCAACCAATCTATATTCTCGTTCTCTCTGCTTCTGTCAAGTATGTTCTACTGATGTTCTACTTACCCAATCTCGAAACCCGAGTTGCAGCTGGCCGTATGAACTTCCATGATCCTTGGCAAACTAAATGAGCAGTTATTTAGACTGATAACTTCCATTTCCGTGCCTAGATTGACGACCACTACGATTGGTGCTTCGCCATGTAGGTACCTTGAAGGGGGAAAAAAACATTCATGAAATTTTCGACAAAAACTATAGGTGTTCAATTGACTTTAAAACATATTTAAAACGAGGGGATATCGTTGTGGATCATCAATGACTTTAAAGATTTTTTTAAAGCACAATTTTTCTATGATGTGCATAGTTAGGCAATTTGTTCGAGTATAAAGCCATAAACAACGCAGAGCATATTATGTAGATATACCTATGCCATCAAGTTTCGTCTTGTAAAAAGTTGTATTAATGGAGCCAAAATCCGCTCGTCTGTGGGCCCTCGAAATCGGGGTCCCTGTGAGGTTATTTTTCATATTTTAATGACTCTTTACACCCACAAAAATTTCAGATTGAGTATATGAGGCGCATCGGGATATTGGGGAGGTAAGTGCCCGATTATCACTCCTTTCTACAGTTAATTTAATGTCGAATTCCGACTGTAATATGTTTCCTGATTTAGATATCTGGGTGGGGTTTACGGCGATTCTTTTAGCTATTACTGGTGTGCTTTCCTACATCTTCCGCAGTTTTGAGGGGGGGGGGTTGGAGGGGGCACTTAACCCACACAGGGTTTGTACAAAATATGGAAACTTATGCATGACTCCAGAACAGTTGCAGATATTGACATGTGGTTTGGAAGAAACTTCCGTGAATACTAGAGAGGACATTTCGGGTTAAGAGTCATTATACCACCCCCCCCCCCCCCCCCNCGAGAGGAGTGGGGAACAGGGGGCTACTTTCTCATTTTGAACGGAAACATCCGGAAATTTTTTACACTTGTAGAATATAAACGAGTTTTTAACACATTTATAAAAATTAACTTAATTTCTTATCAAGCAAACTTCAAAATGTCAATTACTCAGTTTTGAATTTTAGAGAGGTACGAGTAAGACTCTTTTTGCATTCCGCCACTTCACCACCTACTTTCGATTCTTTTTTCTTTATCTAAGAGCTAAAACGAATACATGCCGAGTGATGTCTTTTTCTATTGCCTTGCTGCCTCATACCTTTGAAAAACAAAGAGCCAAGGTGTTGGCGCACACATATTCAACTCTCCTTGCATAATGGTAGGTGTCTTCCTGAGTTTCATCAGACGTTTAAAATTGTTCAACTGACTGTTTTTTTCGCCCGCTTGTCTCTTCACGTTAATTGCATAGTAATTTGGGTTCACGGGCAACCATGGAATTCTTCTTTTCGTAAAACCTGCGATCAAAAGAGTAAACATTTTATACATATAATTAGATGTATTTCTGTCAAACGGAACTATGTGCATTAAGACATGAGCCCTGCTGAGACTCATAAGGCCATATGCATAACAGAGCTTATGTCTAGGAAATTTGGCAATTCTCAAATATTCATACGGCGTTCTTCCTTAGCATGGCAGCATAGTGACAGTGGCGTGGCGTGAATTGCGATGTATCGATTGTTATGCCATTTAAACCGATGGCAAATAATCGATTATTGAGGTGTTCGCTGAGGACGCCCTGTTTATCGATCCTTTTCCATAGGTTTGAATGGCATAACAATTGATATATCGCAATTCACGCCACGCCACTGCATAGTGAGTACATCAGTGTCCCCATTTTAGTCTCTCTCTGCCTTTGAACATCTTCAGTGATAAATCGCAGCGTATCATTGATGATGGTCGGGCGCCAAAACGCGTCTGATTTCAATGTGAACTGGATTTTTAATCAAATTAAAATTCGATTGTGTTGTTGAAAATTCCTTGAGTTTTGAAATAGAGACGGATCCAGCAATTTGGCAACACTGGACTGCCCCTATGTAAACCTATGCTAAATAATCGATTCTAGCCGCAGCACGCGACCCCTCCAAGAATCGATACATTTCCATAGGTTTAAATGGAGAAAAGACAATGTCGCCAATTTGCTGGATCCGCCAATGGTTCAAAATAACGTGATGAAATGAATGTGCAGAGCGATGATCGAATTGTCAACTTGCCTGCATTGGGAGAGTCGTCCCACTGCATCGGGGTCCTGTGCATGATCTCACCGTGTGGGTCCCTGTCACCCTTTTGATCGGGGCGTAAAGGGAGGCTCGTCATCGATATCTCCTCGCCGTAGTAACTATTTACCACTCCTGGGAGTAGAAGAACTATCATGAAAGAGGGCAGGGATATTTCTGGGCCACCTAAATCTCCTGCTCGACCTTTATCGTGATTCCCAATCTAGAAAAAATAATAGAATGGACCCCTGCGGACTGATTATTTAAATTGATAGAAAAAGAAGGCAAAAAGGGTACGCAGGGATCCTACACGGAGAAAGAAATTTCGTGCGTTAGACCCAAAGTTGAGGTCATATGGACCGCTAGAGTTTTCGGATCACGTATCCAAAAACCTGAGGTCCAGCTGCCGAAGTTCGGGTCAGACATATGAAGTACTTCGATATATACCGAAGGGTTCGGGTCACACATCTGAAGTACTCCGCCGGTACATACCGAAGTGTCTCGATGTCTGACCCGGACTTCGGCAGCTCGACCTCAAGTTTTCGGATGCGTGATCAGAAAACTTCAGAGATCCATATGACCTCAACTTCGGGTCCCATGCACGAAGTTTTTTTCACCGTAAATTGGTGGATACGGGTGGTTGCAATGGACAAAGGACGTAGATAATAGACTAACTAACGGCAACCCACGAGAGACCTGATAGTTAGACCATCATTTACCCCCTTAGTCTATGAGAACCACCCATTTCAACTAATAGGATCGCTCTATACTCTCTTCTGTGTCTTCTTTGTCTATAGCTTTATTTATAAATTTCATTAATCGGCCTGCTGGGCAGGATGTGAAATGGACGTATTTCTGCTAAACGGAACTAGAGACGTGTGGGGAAGATGGGGTGTGTTCGTGGTGAGCTGTATAAGAAACAATGTAAAAGTGGGCGTGATCAGGGCCGGATTAAGGGGGTGGCCACATGGGCCGCGGCCCATGACAGCAAATCTAGGGGGCGGCAAATTTTGCAATTTTTTTAAATGTAGGTATAAAAAAAATCTAATTTAGAAAAAAAAATACAAACGGGAAAAGGCAACAAAATCTCGCATTTCCTGAGAGTATAGTAATTTCTAATTTGTCGTCTTTCAGTGATACAAGAGACATCACCTTTAATTAGTCAAGTTAAGAGAGATACAAAACACGCAATTTGGCCTGGAACGGCGCGACTTGCAGAGAAATGATGACGAGGACTTGAGATGAAAAGGAGAAGCCCTCGGCGCGGCGGTCAGCATGTAACACATATTAGCACCTACAAGACTGCACGAACACTTCACGCATTGCATCAAACGCAATGCGATCAGCGTGAAACGCATAGCGCCTACAAGACTGCGTGAATACTTCACGCATTGCGTCTAACACAGTGCGTTCAGCAGCGGCCGGCGTGAAACTCCGCGTGCAACTGCAGTCAGCGTGAAATGGATAGCGCCTACAAGAATGAATGAATACTTCACACATTGCGCAAAAGTCAGTGCAGTCTGAGCGGCGCGGTGGCGGAAGTTAAAATCATTAAACTACATTCAAGTTTGCTCTTTCATATTTTTTTCGTTCATTTCTTATGAATGGAAGGGAAGACCTTGTCCACACAGAGATAGGTTTACGGAACTTAACTTTCGCGAAAAGTTCCGTGAACTTTTGCTAGTGGTGTTAACAGGGCTTTCCCAAATAATGTTTCCAAAACACTAGTATACGCGTCTTCTGCACCTCTCCCTCGGCTCGTTCACTTGATGGCTTTTATTGATGTTTCAAAACGAATGAGAAGGGGGCTGCAAAATACAGGTGGCCCATGGGCGGCAAGTAGGTAAATCCTGCCCTAGGCGTGATTCCCTTTGGAGGAGTGGTAAAGCGGGAATTTTCCTTACACTATATGGAACCAATTATTCGGATTCTTCTTCATTTTTTAATTATTTTTCAGTGCTCTCTACCTATTTTTTTTATATCTATTCTTTATTTATTTTACATCTATTTATTGTAATGGCCGTCCTGAACTATATTCATCTAATACATAAATATCATAATAACTAACCGACCAACTTGGTATTCCAGATGGTGATGAGGCCCACAATTGATCTTGGACACGTTCTATAATTGCACTTGAATTAAATTTCCTTGCGAGCCACATATTTGGAGTCAGTTGAAAATGTAGATTCTTGTGTGTCTCATTACCCATGAGCTTTTGAGTCATTTCCGCAGAGTCCCAAAATTCAAATCCCATTATCCTGAAAGAAGTAACACATTTTTCAACAAGGAGAATGAACTCAAACCGTTCCCGAGATACCGATTTTGGAAGTTTTGCTAAGATGGAAACTTGGCGATGAAGAAGTTAGAAATAATAACAGAGGATAAAAATAAAACCGGAAGCGTTGGGTACGTCACACTGTGGAACGAACTAATAGAAGAGGTCAGGCATGACATTTTTTTACCAAAATTTCAAATTTTGATGCTTAATTTGTCACAAATTCAATTTCAGGGAGTAACTCTACAAGAAAATTTCACAAAAAAACCGAGGGAATCACTCTTAAACTTCATAGTTTCATATTTTCGAAAACATAAACTCTCAAAGATTTCAGTTTTCGTCCGACCTCTCCAATTGACCCGATCAATTGTGCGTCGGTGATAAACGGCAGGTTGAAGCATGTTCACAAGAATGAGATTAAAGATTTTTAAGTGTACCTGGCTTTTTTGGTTTTTTCTTTATACTCATCCAAGAGCAAACGCCATTCGTGAGTTACTTCATACATGTCTTCCTGGTTCTGACTGTATGTGTGAATTTGAGCAAAATAGTTATTTATCCCGAACATACCAGGTTGCCAAGGATTGTCTCTCAGCATTGCATCTTCCATCAGATGTCCAATCGCATCAACCCGAAACCCATCGACACCAAAATCTAACCAAAATCGAATAATGTCCTACAACAAAAGAAAAAAAGCATCAACACAAGTAGCAGAGATCGCGATAAATAGCGATTTTATCGGTTGGTTATCGCGATTATATCGGTGGTAATGTATCGAGATATTATCGTATTATGAATCGCGATTTATGGCGATTAAATCGCTGAAAATCGCAATTTTTGGTCCGATAAAATCGTGATCAATTTTTGTCGATAAAATGGAGATTAAATTGCCATTTATCGCGGTTTATATTTAGGAAATATCGCGATAAATTGTCGGACGATAAAAGCGCGATTTTATCGCGATAAGATCGAGGATGATTGCTGAGTTTTTGATGATCCTGGTGATTTTATTGCAGATAAAATCGCAATATATAGCGATTTTTCTGTCGAGAAATGCTACTTTGGAAGCTCCACGTTCAAAAAGGACTTTTGAGGCTTAAATACCAATAATGATCATTTAGATACAACATTGCATAAAAATAGCCTTTAAAACCGCGGAGAGAAAAATATCCGACTTATCAAGCCACATCAAAGTTCATTCATTATGAGTTTCTTAAAATTTCATATCACACATATTTCTTTTCGGGAACGAACCAGTGATAGCAGTGGCCTTATCTTCATGAAACTTCACGTTAATTCTTATAACTTTAATTATCCTGAACTAACAACCTTAGGGAAATCATGGTGTGGATGGGACTCGCCTCAAACACATAAGACGTTGATGACATAGAAGACACCCTTATTGGTTTTAATAAAAACAAAAACGTACCTTTTTTGAATGGAGGACAGCTTATGGACCTATAGTTTTCCTTACACGAGGGAGAAATGGTGGAGTAAAATTATTTCAAATGAAGAATTTTCTCGTCTGTATCCCTCCTCACCCCAAATGTATATGTCAAAATACCCAAACATGAGCGTTTAATGGTTTTTGACCAAGTATTCTCTGTTGTAATGGCGAAATCTTGGTCTACAAACCTCGTGGGTCTCCCCTCCAGTCATAGGCGGCTCTAGACCTCTGTGCTTGTAGGCGCCAAGAGACTTGGAACCATTTTGTTGGCGCGTGAGTGGGGAATGGGGATTTCGAGTAACCTTTCTTGGAAAATTTTGAAAATTTTATCTCTCATGGGCGCTATCTATACTATTCTACACTATAAGCTCCGAGACCTCCTAAATTTTATCCTCCTATTTTTTCCCATTTTACCCCGCTTGTGGGCTCACGTGAACTCACGTTGAACCGTCTATGCCTCCGGTGACGTGTTGTAAGGATTAAAAACATACCTGTTTCTTGAACTAACCTTCACTGCCTCTCTTAACGCCCGATTTCGATAGTTCAGATCAGGTTGCAAGGGTAAGAACTGATGCAAATAGAATTGTTTCCTTTCATCGTTCCACTCCCACATAGAACCTTTTGGAAAGCTTATCTAAAAGAGCGGTTGAAAATTAGGAGAGAAAGAAAAAGTGTCAGAATGAAACATCGAAGTGTGGCAGCAGCATACCTGTTGACCATAGAGACTTTGAAAATAATGGTAATGCACACATCAGTATTGTAACAGAACCAAACTTGAACAGAAGGGTAGTAAAGTCGGGAATCGAAGGGTGTAGAATTTCGTAAAATGAAAGAGACAAATCCTTCCAAGCGTCAAAATGCATCATTCCTCAATATTTTAGATAATTGGAACCTAGTGTCCGACGAATATTTTTTGAATTTTACTAAACTGCAAAAAATGAATGCGCACAAAGTATTTAGTAGATAGCATTACGCAAACCACACTGAAAAAAAAAATTGCTTGGGTCAAGCATAATGATTCTTGAATTTGCCGCCAAGAATTTTTTTATCTTCATTTATACTGAATTTTTCTTGATACAAGGAAAATAAGGCTTGGTTAAGCAAAAAAGTAGTTTATATCAAGCAACAAAAGTCTTGATTTAAGATGAAATACTTCTTGGCCGCAAAAAGATTCATTTTTTCAATGCAGTCATAACTGCCTTTGAATGCTTAACAGAAATACCTAGTTTGGGTTGGGACAATAGGGGCCGTCCACAAATTACGTAAGGCACTTTTTCCAATTTTTAGACCCTCCCCCTCCTCCCCGTAAGGCTCTTGTATGGCTAGCCAGGGCCCCCCTGCATAATTATGTAAGGCTGGTCAGACCCCCCCCCCTTCTATCGTTTAAATGCATAATTTAATAGAAAAATGGTGTTGAAAAAAAATCTGTATTATTTTAAACATTATTAATCGCTGGTTGGAGCCCATAAAGAATAATAGTTGTATTGAAAAAATAACGATTTTTTACATTCGAAAAGTTCAGAAAAAATTACATTTCAACAAAAAAACATTAAACGTCTAAAAAAAAACGAAATTTGGACTAGTCAGTCTTTAAATTAACGAAATCCCCTCCTTCTCAATAATAAGAGTTTGGCTTACGTAAGGCAGCGCTTGACACCCCCCCCCCCCNGGTAAAGCACCCATAAGGCACCTCTTGACCCCCTCCCCCAAGTGAATTACGTAATTTGTGGACGGCTCCATAAATATTATTATTTAATAAAAAGAGAGTTTCGAAACTGCTTACCCAATTACTAGGCGGGATTGGTTGGTTTGTCTCGGGATCATATTTTTTTGGATCTTCCCAAACATAGAAGTCAGTGTAAGGAGCTTCCCTTTTGACAGACTTCTTGAACCACTCATGTTGGTTACTCGTGTGGTTTGGAACAAAATCAAGAAGAATTTTCATTCCTGCCGGTATCACAAAACAGCTTGATTTGGTCAGTGTATTAAAACTAGACTGAACAAATTATATTGTGTCAATGAGAGTATTTTAAGCTTTCAAACAATGTTGGGCTCGATGTAATTGCGGTAATGGCTGGAAATAGAGTGCCTGTATACGGGAGAGTATTGCCATCTCAATCTTTTTACTACAGAAAAAGTGTGCCGCTCTCCGATTGATGGGCTGTATAATGGAGCCCCAAAGTTGGACCAATGTAAACAAACCCCAGCCCCTCCGCTCATAGTTTGGCCCAATGTAAACAAACAAGATGACGGAAAAGTTCTACAAAGTTCTGGGCGTAATTTTGGGTGTGATAGAGATTTTTTTACATCCAACTTTTGAATTGAGTTCGGATCAAACTTTGATGGATATTCTGGAAAATCAAGCTTTGAGTGTGATTATCATTCATTTCCCAGTAGAATAAAGAGGAGATTTCATTAAAATATGGGTAAATAAGGCTAAAAGATTATTAAAACACTAAAACACAGGAAGTTTCGAGCTGTTACCAGCTCATTTTCAGCTGCGAAAAACCTAAAAACAAGTAAAAAATTGAGTGGCGACCTGACCCCAGCCGTTATCACGTAACCACTGGAATTCAGCACCGAACATCCGAGGCAGACATAGTGGCCACCTACACACCAACCAATGTGGAAGATGGGTAGGCAACCCCTGCTCCTACACATAGACCACCACCATGCTTGTTTTCCCAGTAGATAATACGTGTTTCTTTGGGTCGGGTTTGTTTACATTGGTCCAACTTTGGAGCTCCATGATAGCCTGAAACTGATGAACCAATCAGAGAGCGGCACAGAGATGGCAATATACTCTCCCGGATACAGGTACTCTGGCAGGGAAAAGGGCCCTCACGCGTATAAGCCGTTCTGTCCAAATCGGCATTTCGGATTCCTTATGCCTTTGGCCGGTCGTCCCTCATCCCAGCACTATGAAAATATCTGGATTCCCGTGCTCAATAACATATTAAAGTCGGGCCGTTACGTCTTTATGAGGAAAATCGGCACAAGCGCGTATAGGTTGTTTTTCCATCAATAGGCACGTCATGAGGCATTTATAATTACGGACCCGATCTATCCTAAAAATTCCTCCAATAACCTCCAGAAATCCATCTCCGTCGCGCATTGCATATCTTGTGTCTATTTCTGTAGCAGCCAAACTTCACATCCATACATCAGAATACTATTAAATTTTTTTCACTGTGTGGTTTCTTTCTCAATTTTTTTTTCAACTTTTGAAAATTGGAACATGGTCGATCTACCTCTTTTGTGAATTTCATCAATCAAATTTTTCAATTCCTCCATGGTCCCGAACATTGGATTGACGTCTTTATTATCTGAAATGTCATATCCTCCGTCCAGGAAAGGGGATTTAAAAACGGTCTGGACATAAACCGTTTCAAATCCTAAAGCTTGAATGTAATCCAGTCTCTCTAGTATACCTAAAATAAAGAAATTTATATTTCAGATTAATCAACACGGCATTTTTAAAGTTGGGTCGAAATTCACTTCATGTAATATAAAAATCAATGCTCTTAAATAAATTTATTTCGATTTCATTCCGTGGACAAACCAAAAACTCAATACTTTCAAACCGTAAAAATTGACGGTCCTAACCCAATTTACCCTACGTGCACTTCAAGTTGCCTGGTTTCTTCTCATTACCTTTTTAAATTTGGCAATACAACCATAAGATTTTTCGGCTGCAGAATGTGTGATTATCTTAGTGTAATTTTATCCACTAACAGATACTATTCAAACATATACAGCGGACAGACGACAAAATTGTGCCGATTATTCTATAAAAGCGGTTGCGATGACGAGACATGACAAACAATTTTACAAACAGCAGTCATTTCGGACCAAACAATGCCCCTCATTAATAGACAAAAAAAACAAAAACCTTAAAAAAACCATAAAATAATATCAATAAGGCAGCTCACACATACCCGAGAAAAAATAATTGATACAATCATTTTAAGCAAGCTTGAATCGTAGTCGGACTTGAAAACAGCGTAAACTTAAAATTGAGACCCAAAATAAAAAATAAAAATCTCCGCAAACATCAGGTACCAGTGACGTCATCTCATCAGCTTTAGAAACAAATAGAGGATCATAATTGATCTATTTATGCTGAATAGAATGTGTGCATTAGATTTGCGTCGTACGTAGCTCCTTTTGGTTTCATTCTCTTGCACTTTCGCTCTATAAACTCGTACTGATTAAAGTTGTCAACATTTTCCTGCTAAAAATGACGAGTAGTAATTCAGAATTCGCCTACTCACATGAGTAGAACTTCCTACTTATATGAGTAGAAATCCTATTCATATGAGAAGAAATTCTAATCATATCACTAGAATATTCTACTCATAAGAGTAGAAAAGTTCAACTCATATGAATTCAAATTTTTCATTTTTCAAAAGTGCTGTTTCTGGCCAGGAGACACCGACATAACAGGTATTAAAAGTAAAAACATTTTGCTCTTATGCTTTCTTTGATGTGGTGACTAGTTTCTGAGATATAGCGAACACGGTCGATTCAACGCTGAACTCATGTGAGTTGAAATCTCTAGTCATATGAGTTAAAATCTCTAGTCATAGAAGTTGGCGAAACTGGATAGAGAAATTCTGCTCATATGAGTTAAAGTCCACTCATATAAGTTGAAATCCTATTCATATGAATTGAAATTCTATTCACATGACTTTGATTTTCTACTCGTTTGTACTCACCATTTTTAGCAGGGTTCCCTACTTCACTCATTAAGTCGTTTTCATTCATTCCAGGTTCAATACTTTTAATAGATTATGTGGAAACTACAAAACTCACCCTTAAAATCCCCATTACCATCATTATTGGAGTCCATAAATGACCTTGTATATATACTTGGTAAATGGATGTTGTCTCGTACCATTCATTTTGGTAAGATTGAACTTTCTGTAGTAGACAAAATATAACTTTCATCCAGAAAATCAGATACAAGGAGTAGCATATGCTGTTCCTTCCATGAATCATTCTCCCTTAAATTGTCTTCCGCCAACTGAAAACAAAAATAAAAAATTAAAGAATAAACAAGTTGGTTTTTGCAATCGCTAGCGATAGCAATATTCGTCATAGGAACTTTTGCTTCTGGGATATGAAAATTTTAAGGTACAGTTCGTTTGTAGTATCTTCAGAATTGAAGGGGCTATGTAATTTTGTGTCGACATCTCTTTTTTAACATTTTTAATTTTTTTTCTTTGCATACAAGAAAGCTGTTATTTACCAATTATTTATTTTCGTTGGATTATGTATGGTTTTTGGAAGTTAACGCGTTTAACTTTCAGTTTTTTTTTTTCGGTGTAAAGTATGATATTTTTACTCTACGCATATGCCCGAATACGCATCATAACGACGGTGAAACTACCAAACCGCGTATCTCGTTTGCGGTGTTTAAAAATCTCCGCTCACATTTTATTTTTTTGAAGTAGACCAAATCAATATCATTCCTTGAAATTTTCACAGAATTTTCTCCGCACGAAGAGGAAAAATCACGGAAATTTTCAAGACTGGACGTTAAGTAGCTTTTCATTTAAAAAATAAAGTATGACAGGAAGTCTGCGACGTCGCAAACCGAGATACGTGGTTTGGTAGTTTCACCGTCGATAAGTGACCTATGTGCTTCCTAATAGTTGCCATTTTTTTCATTCAAAAAGATGTAACCGAAATGTTAGATGTGTACTACCTATACTTCTTTCATGTCATTGCTTTATTTATTTATTTACTTTTTGCGTAGGTATAAATTGTTATTTTTTGCTGAATTTTGGAGAAAATATTGCTTTAAGAACGTGGAATGTAAATTAATTTTATTGAAAAAAGAAAATACCATCATTAATTTGGGCGAACAGAGAAAATATACATCAATATTTGGGTCAACATCTCCCTGATTATATAAAGGATGAGTATATTAGTATTTCTGTATCAAAAAACTTAGCTTTTGTCTTCAGAGATACAATGATTCTAGTCCCAGTCAATTTGTTGTATTGAAAAAACAAAAAAACAAAAAATAAATAAAAAAAAAAACAACTGAAATGTTAGACATACTATTTTCATGTCTTTCTATTTGTATCAATAGGTACTTTTTGCTTAACTTACGAACGTTGAATGCAAATTAACTTTATTGAAAAAAAAAATAACGTCATTAATTTGGGGGAACATGTGGCTGATTATATGAAGGAGGTATATTCCAGTATTTTTGTTTAACATATTAACTCACGAGAAAATGTTCGTACATTTATCATCTAGTATTAATTATTTTTTGATGATTGGTCTAAAACATTCAATACAACCATTAAAAATAAACTCCCATCGCCGGGTATCGAACTCCCGATCACCTATTGCCCGCACCTTATCAAAAATACGAGGCGGTTTAGTCAACTAGGCTATAACGGATCCACGCGAGCGAGAGTAAAAATAGCATTTAAAAGACTCGGGCAATGGGCGGGACTTATCACAAGAGACCTTGACTGCTTTTGAAATATGAAGCGCATATGAAGCGCATTGCTGTAGGAGCCATGGTTCGCACTGTTTTAATGCGTCTCGAGGTTCATCCCAGCATGCATTCCGATCGCGGCAGTTGAGCTAAGGCAATATTTGCGTATCCATGAATTAAATCAATCAATCGAGCTCTGATTTTGACTTCTTTATCCGTAACGAGTCCTGCAGAACAATTTTCCACCTTGTACGATGGTTATTATTTCTTTACTTCTATTTTTAAAATTTGAGGTGGGATAATGGCGGCTTCTCAAGAACACCGAGGTAGGCGATCTTTTGCACCAACGAACGGAAAACTGATGGCGAAAAATAACCAATCAGAACCTCCCAAAAAAAAGAATTTGCCCAAAAACGGAACTTCGTGGTTCTGCGCAGATTTACCAGTCAGACACGACATCTCAAGGTGGAAAAAAACTCGCTGAAAGCGAATTTTAGCAATCAACACAACTTGACGTAGAGACATGATTGGCTAAAAAATACAACGGTTTTTGATACATCGGAAAATCAACCAAAAATCGGAGACTGGGCGAAACGCTCAAGGTCGCAGAGGTATAGGGAATCCCATAGCGAAAGCAACGGAACGATTCTAATATCATGGGGAACTCCGTTCCCATGACAAAAAAACAAGCTTCTTACCAGCTGCTCTAAACCGGATTGAAAACAGCGGATGGCTGATATCTCACGTCGTTTCTAGAAGAGCGTGTAACTGACGCCTGTCTCTAGAAGCGAAAGTGACATTGGGGCCACTTTGCAGAATATATTTAGTCCAAAATATTAGTCAATAGGCAGACAATTAATCAGTCCAATTTTAAATATTAATATGGAAAACAGAAGATAATGTCCAAGTCCCCGATTTATCGAGCATACTAATATTCCAAAGATCCTTTCAGCTCAGGAGCTCATTTCGACAGCATGTTATTCTTTTAAAAAACAAAGTTGATAGACAAATGCAGCCCATATGCCAAAACAAAGCAAAAGCAAAATAAAAAAATAAATAAAAAATAAATAAAAAAATATAAAAAAAATGAAAAATAAATAAAAATGAAAAATAAAAAAAAAACAAAAATAAAAAAATGAAAAATACAAAAAAATGAAAAATAAAAAAAATGAAAAAAAATAAATCCGTGGAGGTTTTGAATTTTCTAGGCTCATGTCGAATTTCAATACTTATAAATGGAACCTAAAATATTAACTCACCAAATTAAATCCAAAACCGTTGATGAATTTTAAAATTTAATGCACTCATGTAACTTAAATAAAGCTGTTTAATTAATATAGTCATTAGCTCCGGTTTTTGCTTGGGAGATGTCTCTGTCAAGAAAAAGAGAATAATCTTCACTCTTGAACAGAAAATTTAATGAAAAAAAAAATGGTTACTCTAAGTAAAGTGGTTTATCTGCTTATCAAGGGCCATAGTTATGTAAAAATACTTGATGATAAGCTTAACTTGTCAAATTCGGGCACTTCAAAGTTTACTCGCAAAGATATAATCAATTAGTCTACGCAATTCGATAACGTGTCATGAAGCCTGAAGACAACATATGATTTAGCGCATTATGGAGGTTTATGGTCAAGATAAGAATCACCATGTTTCCTCTTCAAAATTAAGTAGTCAAACGGGAAGTGCTTTACACATAGATCAACGCCCTGGCGTGAGATCATGAACGTGTTTATGCTAAAAGGAACTATGTGCATAGATATTGCGTGTAACATAGTTCCTTTTAGCATAAATACGTCCAAAATGATCTTACCAAGAAGAAACATGACGTCACATACGAAAGTGCAAAACGCATGCACATGATGTTATCAGAAGGCGAATTATTGACCCCTAATAATCAGACGAATAGATTCAAACCTTTCGTTATCGGTCAGCTTAGTCTTTCACGAGGCGCGTTTTCTGCCTGTTGCTGATAGTTATGCTACATACAAAGTGAAAACAACGAGTACGTGTATTTCAAGAAAAGGTATGCATATTTAAAATTATACATTTCGAAAGGGACAATATAACCACTTGCGAGGGATTGCTTACGACCATTGGCTGATCCAGCAAATTGGCAACATTGTTTTTCTCCATTTAGACCTTATCGATTCTTGTAGGGGCCAGGTGCTCCAACAAAAATCGATTTTCAAACATAGGTTTATGGAATCCGGTGTTGCCAAATTCCTGGATCCGCCTTTGCATGCTCACGACGATTAGCGATCAGATTTGTGAGAGATTAATGTGAGTCTTTTGAAGAAACGATAGGAATTCATTGCTCTTTACATTCATTCTTTTATTTAGTGATTTATTGTATTCGATCAAATACGTATATTTAAGCCACAGGCAAGCAGTGATCGCCGGCATTTTACAGAATATTGTCTATGACAAATAATACAGGTGCATGACGGAGATGAGGTGTGGCGGGTATGGACGGTATGAGGAGAGGTAACAGCCCTCGGAAAACATTAAAAAGAGCTTGCTCACCAGTTAAATTTTAAAAAAAGTTGAAATTTTATGTCAGGAGTCCGCCCCGGAAGTTGTTTTCTAGATTAGTGCGAGAAATGATTGACATTTTGAGGCACGGTAAATCAGTTCGTAATTCCCGCGCGAACGGCCTTTGTGTTCTCTACCACCAGTTCTTTCGAAATCAGGAGTAGCACGATCTACTTGAATTTCCAGTTTACTACCTTCATACACAACTGGTTGGTGTCGCCATCTATTGGCTGAAACTTAATTTAGTTATTGAATTCGTCTCATCGACGTTTGGCTCCGATGCTTTGTGTTAACCGTGCTATCAATTTTTTTTTCACATCAACGTTATTCATTTTGTTTTGGAAAGGTACAACCTAGCACTAAGTTTTCAAATTTTACTACATATTTCATCCAGCTGAAGAAGACTATTGTGTCTCCAGCCTAAACGTCTTGGTTTCATGTTATTCTAGCCTTGTTATCCGCGGTTGTACATGTTTACATCTGTACTCGATTCACTATATCGAGAAGGGGGTTAAACGATCGCTAAGGCGGTAATGTATGATTACGTCAGATACGTTCACGACGTGCGTCAACGTGAAAATTCGAGATTAAGGAAACTAGAGAAGAGTAATAATTATAACGCTTTGAATTATAAAGTTGCGTTTTCTTCATGAATGCACAAAACAGCGAATAACACACGCGCGTGTAATAGGAATAGTTGCCCTTAGTTGGGTTTAGCTCGGATAGGCAACTAAAGTAACTGCGAGGTAAGGCGGAGAGTATGATGGAGAAATGAAGGCGCTCCGAGTTGAGCCTTTGGAGTAAATTCTGCTGAGAATCCCACTTTGAATTTCTTGTAGTGAAGAAGTTGCAATTTAGGCAATGCTTCACTCGTCGACATTTCCAAGTTTTAAATGTTGCCAAGTTCTAAGACCAAAGGGGACGGTCATTTTAGATACACGTTTGAAACGAAATGAAGCAGTTTCTGTGAGAGAGGAAGAAATTACATAATTTTATAGCAAATTTTGACCCTCGGATTTTTGTTTCTTTTTCAGATGGGGATATCTTCAAGAAACACCGAAAGTTTTGGTCGACCGTTGAGCTGGTTGGTTTTTCAATTGATGTCATCATTACTCTTAACGACAATTTTAAAATCATGTAAGATATTCATAAATTCAATTAACACGGCCATGAAAAATGTGCCCAGACAAAATATGTTCATACTTATTTACTCATCGACGTTATTGAAAATATTTAACTGCGAAAGCTAAAATAAATGTCTTAAAAATTGTTTAAAGCGATTTTAGAGCATTCAAACAACTTGAATTCATTAGGTATGGGACAACCTGTTTGAAACGTTGGCACTAATAACATTTAAAAATCTAAAAAGAGGTCAAAGTCATATAAGTTTGAAGTCTGCTTGCAGTTCAAAAAGAAAAACAAAGTGTAAGTTAAAGCTAGACACTAAATAAGTTTCCCCCTTTATGTGCAGGTCTCAAATCTGCCGGATTTAAATGCAACTTTACGCCTGCTTTTGCCGCAAAAATCCTCAACACTGATATTTTGGCTATGGTTTCCAAAGTTAATTTTATATTTGCTCTTGGCAGGCGAAACGCAAGGATTTCTGGACCTCCGTGAATCTTCCGAGGAAAATGACGCTTTAAATTCAAACAGGGTGCCCGCCCTTAGGCCACTCATGAGCCAACTCTCCAAGGTAATACACGTTTGTCAATAAGCGCGGGGGAGGGGATTGAACGTATTTAAACGAGAGCTTAAGAGCTAGCTATTAGTTTTTAAACAAAAAACGATATGTAATGATTGAGGAGTGATAAAATATGCCAGAATAGCCCCCCAAAGTGGTAGTTACATATATGTGGGTCCATGCAACTTTGATAAAAAAAAATGAAGAGATAAGTTATATTCACGTGACTCTATGCAATTTCGGTAAAAACCCTAAAAAAGATTTGTTATACTAAAAACATGCGTAAGTACATTTCATTGGAAAAAAAAGAAAATATCAGTCTTAGCAGAGATTAAATATTAGAAAAACACTATTTTTGCCAGCGTAAATCAAATTAGAGGCGAATATTAGCCATATGTTTATTTTGATTGGCCACAACCGGTTGCATAGAATGACGTATATCGACGGTGTAAGTCGGCAATCACATAACTCGTTTGCGATGTCTGAAAATCTCTGCCTCTACGTTATTTTTTTAAAGGAGAACAAATTGACATCCTTCCTCGAAGTTTATGCAGAATTTTTTTCGCACAGAGCAGAACATTCATGGCAGTTTTGAAGAATTGCTGTTGAGTAGTTTTCCGTTTAAAAAAGTAAAGTATAACAGGAAGTCTGTGACGTCGAAAACCGAGTTATGTGATTGCCGACTTACACCGTCGATATGGCTCCTAAATATTGGGCTCTCCGGCCAACGTGACTCCTAAAATTTTAGAGGGAAGGCAGAACACTGGTCAAGAATCTAACATACATTTTATCCTCTCAACAGTGGGGGCTCCCGAAAGCCACGACAAAATCCCTTTTGGACATGCTTGCACCTGTCACGACGCCGGCACCTGTGGCAGAAGAGTGGGATAGGATGAGCGAATTCCTCATTCTGATGGACGAACACCCAGAGCGCTACGTCGACAAGACCCTCTTCCTGAGGCGAGCGATGGAGCCGAGGGTCACAGTCGTCACCCGCCCTCGCGGTTTCGGCAAGACACTCATGCTCTCCACGCTCGAACACTTCCTCGATGCTCGACAACCCAACTCATCGACCGACCTCTTCAAGAACCTCAGCATCATGAGGGACGCCGAGTTCGTGCGGAGGCACAAGCATAAGTATCCGGTCATCAGGCTCGACTTCGGAGGCGTCAAGAACGCCACCTTTGCGGAGAACTTCCGGGTCTTGAAGTCTGTTGTTGCCGCAGCGTACCTTCGTCATAGCGAAAGACTACTGCAACAAGATGAAGCGGTGAGTTGTGGATGATTCGGGATTATTTTGGAATTAAAGTTTCCGGTTGGTGACAGGTGATGTGATCAGTTTTACCGGGTACCATTTGGACTGCGTTAAGCAGAGAGGAATGTGCAGAGGATGGCTGATATCAGGTTGCCGAAGGAGGTGTTGGAGTGGGTCCATCCAGGTAGGCGACGGAAAGGGCGTCCAGGCAAACGGTGCACTGGAAAAAAAAGAATCTTAAATTTGCCGCCAAGAAGTATTTCTTCTAAAATCAAGAATTTTGCTGGTAAATATAAGCTACATTTTTGCTTAACCCAATGCATTATTTTTCTTGAATCAAGAAAAAGTCAGCTTAAAGCAAGATAAAGAAAATTCTTGGCGGCAAATTCAAGAATTATCATGCTTGATCCAAGCTACTTTTTTTTTCAGTGTGGGTACAAGACATCCGTGAAGAGATGGAGAGATGTCAGTTTCCGGAGGATCGCTCCACCATGACAGATTCCTGTGGCGAGTAGGCGTCGCAGAGCGCCCTAGCGCGCCGCAAAAGCAACTTTTACATACATGCATACATAATTGGGCAGTTTAATTTTTTACATGCAATCAGTTGTGCAGATTTTTGTGCAAATTTCAGTGAATTTTCTGCATAGTACGAAGCAAAATCCTTGAAATTTTCAAAATAATCAACACAAATGCTCTCTCGTAAAAAATTAAATTGCCCAGTTAAAATTGGCAATGACTAATGTGGCTTTGGTTCCTCTCTGCTACACGCGGTCCATTTAATACAAAAAACTGTGACGCTTGCTGATTTATCGCACCATTTTTCCTATCTATGCTGTCCTTAAAGGCATGTTAATTAAGTAACTACTCGAGGTCAACAAACAAAATCGCAACAGAACACTTAGTTAAGTTTACATGGTAGTGAAGGCCGGGTTTTTTGATTCCTGACGATTGAAAAAGTCTAACAAAATGTGCAAGACATGTTTGCCAAGATTTACCAATCTTCAGATTCCAATATCAGACCAAAATGGCCAAAAATGTCCATAAATGAGCGCTCATCCGCAAAAATGGGTAAAGTTTTTGCAAAAAGTCAGTCTAATTCGTGCTTTAGGTGCGACGGGTCACAAAAATTGCAAAACTATCCGAGAAAATTCGAATGAAGCTCTAGCATGTGTCAGTAATATGCGCCCTGGTAAAAATTGGTAGTAGAATCTGGGTTCCAAAATACCATAGACCTACAGCCGGCTGTAAGATTTCCAATAGCTTCTAAAGCCGGCAACACAATTTCTTATAGCCTTTTATAGCCGATGGCGACTAAGCAACAGCCTGGCGATAAAGTGTATGCTAAACGTTACTAATTACGGATGCTAGGACTTAGTGAGTTTTTGGACTACCGCTCTCTTTTTGGGTCGTAGTATCTTGATTTATTTTGCGAGGAAAGCTCTGTACTTTTGAAGGATGCCTGCCATTCCTAACATGTTGGAGCGCCTGCAATTTTGTATGATATTGTGCAATACCTCTGGTGTGAAATTGTTGCTTCAAGCGCCGTGGTTCGCTGCGTTGCGGCGCGGCGGGCGGGCAGCCAGCGCGCAAAGCGCATTGGCGCCTTCAAACCTAACAGGGATACTTCACGCATTGCGCAATGCGTGAAGTATCCCCGTTAGGTTTGAAGGCGACAATGCGCCGCCGCTCCGCTTTGTGTTAGGCTCCAATATTTAATCTCGCGGAGTCAGCGTTTTTCAACTCATGACTTTGAAATGTTTGCACACTCTGTGTGGATTATTCTCATTTTAATTGATGAAAAAAAATATGTAGTAAAGGAAAATATAATGTGCATTTTGTAAATATTAAGGTGATTCCGTACCAACTTAAGGATTTACAAAGCACACACATTTCTACACAATTTCGTATAGCCTTTTATAGCCGATGGCGAAAAAGCAACAGCCAGGCGATAAAGTGAAAAGCCCGGCGATAGGAACTATAGCCCGGCTGTATAATTTTTTATCGCTTCGTGTAGCCCGGCCGTTCAATTTTTTCCACTTTCTACATTCAGCCATATGATTTTCTATCGCCTTCTTTAGTCGGCTATAAGAACTCCCATGGTATTTTGAAACGCAGCTCCTATCGCCAATTTTTACCAGGGATATTTAAATACTTTCCCTTACGTAAAATTTTCCGAGAAATACAATGGTACAATGGTTTTTTTCAGAAATCAACTCCATAGCTCACAAAAAGCTTTCAAAGTTGAGGCCGCAATGGAGGGAACACCCCATGCTATCCTGAGCTGCGTCCACCTCATAATCAAGAAAAACTCGCAAAGATAAGGAGTAAACACATCAGCAAGGTTGTTGTGTTTTCAGGAGTGGAATCCCTAAACAAAGTGGCAAATATCCTGTTGATACACATATGCTCCGTATCCCTTTGCATGGAGGGTTTGACTTGATATCTAGAGGTGGACTATATGGATAGCGTGGGATATCCTCTCTATTACGGCTTCAACTTTGAGAGCATTTTTTGAGCTTGGGAGTTTGTTTCAGAGAAAACCAGTGTCACCATCGTGTTTCTCGCAAACTTTTACACGGGGATCAGAAGGTACCTAGATCGCAAATTCCTGACACATGGAAGAGCTTTATTCATAGGTTGGCTGCCCTTTTGGGCGCTAAAAGCTTCAAGACCTAATCTCAAAATTATTAACATGTCTGGACCAGAGACAATAAGAGACCCTCGACTAGTATCTTGCCCATGGTGGAAGCCTTTACTTTTGGGACGTCAGCATTCTACTGTTGACTTATCGACATGATTGATGTTCAACAACGTGTTGGTAGTTTAGCTTTGCAAACACGCCGGAAATGGCCGAAGTTGTGGAAACTTGTTTGACTCATGACGTCACCAGAAGTTCATCATCCACCATGTAGGTAGGTCAACAGCCAAAAATAGGGTGATGACTTTTGCTCCCTAAAGCCCGTATCAGACGATCAAAGTAGAGGCTTCAAAGAGGTTCATCGATGCCTTTCCTGGCCCTCTCATTGGCCAGCGGTTCAAGTCGGGGCAATCGATGAGTTTCTTTGAAGCTTCTACTTTGATCGTCTGATACGGGCTTTATAATCGTCCATTAGGAATTGATGAATCCCCGAAAATAAAAGCTTCCGCCTGTCGCCAAGAGGCCAATGGAGGGTCTTTTGTCTCTAGTTTGCTCTCTCTCTTTGTGGGTACTCTATCCTAATTTCTACATAAAAGTAGATTAGGTATTCGTCGGACTCTTTCAGAACTGAAAAAAAATTCTCGGCGTTTTTACCACGGTCCGTTGGTACCTTGACCATCTCACTCTTTTACCAATTATTGGTAATTTTACAAAGACAGACTGGCAAGCTTACCTAAAAACCGGTACAGTTTTTTTCAGGTAAGAATACCACTTTTATTGGTAATGAATTCCCGGTAACTTTGCCATTTTATCTCGGTAATTCTAGCATAGTCGATAAAAAATATTGGCGTTTTCACCAAGGTCCAGTAAAATTACCGAGAAAGTTGTTCAATGATTTTACCGAGATTTATCGGTAAAATTATACCAATTCCATAAATGGTAATTTTACCAAGAAAAAACTTGGATCAAATGGATGTATTTCTATCAAACGGAACTATGTGCATTTTGACGTGAGCCCCGTTACATACATATTCTTATGGGTTTCAGGGCTCAGGTCTTAATGCACATAGTTCCGTTTGACAGAAATACGTCCAAATAGAACCCTGAATTCTTGATAATTTTACCCTTTTCTTAGTAAATATACCGAGATTTTTTTTCAGTGAGGAATCCCATCATCAATAAATTTCCTAATAATTGCAGGTGATGGACAGCGCAGCAAAGGAGGTTTACAGGAGTATAATGGAGAAACATGGCGATGAGAATTTGTACTTGGGAGCAATCCAGCGGTTATGCAAATTCATTTATAAGGCCGAGGGTGTTCGCCCGATCGTCTTGATCGACGAGTATGACACGCCTCTCCTAACGGCCCTCGATACCGGGCACTATCATGCTATGATCAAGTTCATGCGCGGTTTTTACCGTCAAACCCTCGACCCGAGAGAAAACGATTCTTTCGAGAAAGGTGTTCTCACCGGTGTTACGAACATCCATACTATCGTCCTGGAGCCCTTTCGAGATGAAGTGAAAGTATATTCGATCTTCGATGATGAGTGCTCGAAGTTTTTTGGCTTCACACAGGCAGAGGTGAGACAGCAACATTCATAGAAATTCTCAGAAATTATAACAGAATTTTATTTGCGGCTTATCCGTGATAATGGAGCTCTTGCATGCATTAAGGTGATTCGATAGACGCCATATTTTGTGTCATAACTACGTACAACATATTGCATTGATTGGTTACATTTTCTCAGCTACTACTCGTCAATCCTTAAGTTGATTCGATGGACGCTATATTTTGTGTCAGAACGGCATGCGATACATCGCATCAATTAGTTCCATTTTCTCAGTTACTGGTCATTTTTTTCGAATATTGGGATCGCAATTCTGTTGTCAGGAGACTAAAGAATTCATTTACCAATTCCGACAAACAAATTCAACTCAATAAAGGCGTGACTTTTTAAGAGGGAAATTATATCGCTTTCAATTGCAGTTTCGCTATCAGTCTGCCAAATAGTCCCGGGTAGAAAATATATTTTTGAGGAAAGTTACGTAATGTTTCGAATAATTTAGGTTAAATTGCGGAAATAATGTATTGAACATTTTGAAGAGAAATATTCACAATTTTCCCAGTAAATTCGTTTTTTATTGAAGGAAATAAGGCAACATCTTGTTGTGTGCCCCAACATGCCTATATCTATCTATACCAGCCTGGCGCCTGTCTCTCCTTTTCATCCTCTCAACCCCGCGCCAGGCACCTCCCTTGTCCGCGATTCCGCGACCTCGGGAACTCCCGTTAGCCCGGTACCGCCTGGCACGGATGATTCCCTACCTGTTTCTTTCCCGGCTTTCCCTTCATCATGATCATCCCCTTGAACAGCAACCAGGAGACAGTAAACCCACACCATAGAATAATAAAGCTAACGCCTATAGAAGAGTCACTCTCGCAGTTTTCGTGACGAAGAAGAAGAACAGGTACCTCGAGCCGGAGCTGGCGGGTATTGTTTACATTCGGGACCTAAAATGGCCGCTGTTGCAATGGTTGAATGGTAGCAGTTCAAATTACACACGTGTTTTCACTTCTCAACTTTTATCTTTCAAATATGAGTCCGTGAAATTCGTCGTCGAGGTGGTTTTGGTTGTTAATTTTGATTTGTAATGTGATCTGTGAAGATGTGAGTCGTAGATTCTTAACTTTATACCGGCGCATCGCTTTATTGGATGAACATCAATCTTTTAGGTGAGTTATAACTGTTGATTTTCTTCTAACTTAGGCCCACATCGGTTTGCTGTCTCCATTGGATCTGATTTGGGTGCTAAACTTCATGAATTTGCTCCAATAGTCTGTAATTGACAACCTTTACATTGAACATGTATTTGTTATTTGCACCAAATTTAATAGAGGGTTTGTACTTTTATGGAGTTTAATGTACATCATCACACCCTACTGCTTTATTGGAACTGTTCTGACGAAGCATTTGTTAATGAGAATTCGTTTGGTTCAAAGACAGCCTTGATAGTGAGAATAACTGTTGAAGGTGAATAGTCTTTTACCTTATTTAAATATCTGTGCCATGGGCCCTGTCATGAATGTATTCTCTCAGGACTCAGGGCCAGCAGGACGATTATTGAAAATTGAAAGCAGCCCGATTATACAACGATTTGCGATATATTGAATGGTTAAGATAGGACTATGTCTTTTCGTGTCGGGCTGACATAGTTTCAATAATTGGCCCGCAGGGCCCATGTCACAATCGAGGTAGTCGGAAACATTAAAATATGTCTATTCAGAGCCAGTATTTGAACCTTCGTGACAAAATTCCCAATGAAACTGTCTGACCTGTCCACCTAAACCTTCTGACCTGAACCACTGTCTGAGTTACAAAATGACATGTTGGAAAGCATATCAATTATTAGCCGCAAGAAATGTGTTTGACTGCTTAAGCACTTGCATTATACCCTACAGACTTCATTTCAGATTGTTGTTTGTTGAATTATTACAGTAAGTGATTCTAATCTTTATGACCTGTATTTTGACAGATGATGCAACATCGGCCGGTTTATGGTAATTCCTTTATCAATAAGTTTAATTGGAAATGGAAAGTAAGTCACCACTGAGAGAAAATGGGTTCCTGAGAAAGATCAGCATTTGGATCAGTAGTTTAGTTCTATCTAATGAACATGAACCTGCAAAGGTAAGAAATATTTAGAAAGCAGCTTCAAATTATTTAATATATCTACAGTTAAGAACAACCTGCAAATATCCTCTTTCACTTCCTATTTTGTAATTCTCTGTCAAGAATGAGATGTTATTTGCTACGAAACTAATCTAACTACAGAACTTGCCTTGCTCAGAAATTCTCTCACCATTTTAATCAAAGTAGCGCATGAGCTGTTTCCGGTTGCATGCCAGAGGTTTTTCAATGCCGCACTCAAAGTAATTACTGAATTGGCCAGAATGATTCTTTTAGTATTCGTACGTTGTATCGCTGTTAAATGCTTATCTTGTGACCCAAGATGTTCTAAAAGGATTTTTCTTTATCATGTCTGCTGAGAAATGTCTGTTAACTTCAAAAAATGGAAAGTACCAGCAAGTTGGTCACATTGATTGCTGCATTTTCAAATTTTGATCAGAGGGTCAAATATGTTGACTCCCCATCTAATTCACCCTTCTTAATGTATTTCTTTTTGCTGTGTAGGTGAAGAAACAGTGGCTGGCTGTTACCAAATTCATTATCCAGACTGCATCACCAACTTCCTCAATGGAAATCTAGTCAAATGTGCCTGTGATAAATTAAATTTGTTCTCTCTGAATCTCCATGGACTTAGCAAGGTAATATATCTTCAAGAACCATCTGGAAGGAATGTAATGTAACCCTTTTGCAATCCGTATGGCCCCGTATTCTCTGCCTGTCTCAAATAGTCTGTGTCTTGCAAGACAGTAAATCAAAGAAATGAATTTTCTTTTCCCTCAAAGCCTGTCGCCCACTGCACCAATATGTAGGGCCTTCATATAAGCATCGTCACTTCAAAAATTTCTACTTTCATATTTGATTTCAGCATACCAAAAGTTAAGGTAATTGAAGCCTCTGAATCATTTGGAAATGGTCACACTTGCATAAGTTGCCCTATAGAAGATTGAAGCTGATGAAAATTGAGAATTGAATCTTTGCTTGTTTAACATTGCTGCGGCATTGATGCATCTTGGTACAATATGACGAGCAGAAAAACTGTTTTTAAGGGCCTAAGATCAACTGAAAAGACCATTCATTCTTGAACAGTGTCAAAGCACTGTATGTTTTTCACTTATCTTGATTTGATCCGGTTTGAGTCCCCCTTGCAGGCATCTCAGATTTTCATATCTGAGGGGATAAATATTTGTTCTTCCAGGTCAAACAAGTCTCTGTTCTAAGATTTTATTGCTGTTTTGCACCTGTAAAGAATCATCAGTACCTAAATACATTATCATAGTATTTTATGTGCATAAAGTACAAATGTGCACAATGCGTATGGTCGTGCACATCAGGGCTGGAAATTCTGATAAGTTGACTTTAAATGCGGAAAAATTTTGTCAAAAATTGCGTCCGTTCTTCAAATGACTCCAGAGCCAATTTGTCTTCTTCTCCATTCGCTCAGACCATAGGGAAATTCCTTATAAACCACAATCCAATTTTAAATTGCAATATTTCAACACATTCATTTTCTTCACCTCTGAGTTTCAGGAAGGATTGATTGAAACAGTTTTCACTTTTTTTCTTGCATTCTCATTTCTAGCGCTCAAGTCATTTTAGAATGACTGATTAAGTGGTAATATATAATAATTAATTGGACACTGGTCAAGAAAACTTTCAAAAATATCATTCGGCTCTATTTTTGTGTGTTAAAACTAGGTATCTTACAACACTATTGCATAAAAATTCGTTCAATACACAAATTCCTATTTCTTTTCAGATGGGAATTTCATGGTGCTGTGTACAAGGCTGTAGAAGTAATTCAAAAGCACATTCTAATCTAAGTTTTTTCCGATTACCCAAGGACAAGGAACGGTAAGAATTATTTTCCTTAGAAGAAGTTATGTTTATTCATATTTCCCCCTTTTTGTATTTGTTACGTGCTAAACATGAGAAGCCATTAATTAGAAGAGTAGTTCATACCAGTCACTGTTACAGTCAAAGGTTGTTCCAGATTGTACCTGTAACGGGCGTTTGGTACAAGATGAGCGGCAAAATACGGATTCGATGTCCACAAGCATGTCCCCTGTGCAAAGCCCAGTAGGCATTTTCCATTTGCCCTGGACATTTATACATTTTTCATGATTACTTCTAACATATACGGCATCCTCGGAAAAACTAAGTTTGCTGCTATGTCTTGGAGCTCTTAAAACTAAGGGAGAACAGTATGTTGCTGCTTCCAACTTGGGGCAATCCTTCGGATATGCTCTTTTGAAATGTTCCTCTTATTATGAATGAAGGATTTTCTGTTTGGAAGAGATACGTTTTTTGCCATAAAGAAATTTTCATAGATTGAGAATCTTCTCAGTAAAAGAAGTTCCTGCTATCAGCTTCAGAAATAGAAATCATTCTTGAATGCTTTCCAAGAATTTTTCCCATGACTTTTCCTGCAAAATGCACAGACTTGTCTACAAATGTAACAATTTATATACATCAATGGTTTTGACGATACCGCATCTGTTCCATCTTATATTGATGCAGTGCACTTCTGCAATTAGAAATGCGCTTTATTTCTGAGTGATGCTCTTTACAATGTCTTTAATTTTACTGATCACTTGTTGTGCCGTAATTTTTCAACACAAACATTCATTATATCACTTTTTCAAAACATCATAAAAGTGATATCATTGAAATTTTTGAAATTCTCATTCTTCTATTGCTGTTTTTTTCAGTTTAAGACAAACGCTCTCATCTAGGTGATTTTCTCATCTTTCAGCATCACTTAAAAAACATAGTATCATGAATGAACCCTTTTGAGCACCATTCTCGTTGAGAAATTTACGCAAATTTCCACTAACTATCTTCACTTTCCTTGTAACAGATATTTAATATGACTTTTTCTTTTCGATTTCGGAGAACGCCATGATCCTAGACACAATCTTCTTTCTTTGTTCCCAAATATGCTGTATCGCTCTCTAATTTTTCTTTTTGTCATTTACAGATTAGGTCTTTGGATCGAAAAAACCCAACGCTATGATCTAGAAAGGAAGGACCCCATGTACGCTTACAGAAGTTGCAGGATCTGCTCAAAGCACTTTGACAGAAGCATGCTGAAGGTAGATAGAGGAGGAA